AGACCAAGTCCATGTTACAGCACAAACCGAAACAACATATAAACGATTACATCACATCCCACTGTGTTTATCAATTTACATGTATGTGTGGACACACATATATAGGGAGGAGTAATCGTGATATGCAGTTAAGGAAGGCTGAACATGTACCTAAGTGGCTACAAAAACAAATGACCTCAACAGATCCGATAAGTGCAGGTGACAAACATCCATCTTCGTCTATCGCTAAACATATACTAGAAACTAACCATAGGATAGACATGAAAACAGCCTTTAAAGTACTACATAAAAGTGGTCAGAGCCGAGTGCTTAAATTTATTGAAGCTCTTGCCATCCGTAAATTTAAACCCCCTTTATGTATACAAAAACAATTTGTACTCACGTTGAACCTACCTTGGTAGTATTGATTTTAATTTTCATACCAAGAATAAGGTTTTCCTTTTTTTTCTATCCCTTCCTATTCCTATGTTTCCCATTAACTTCATTGACCTTTTCGTAAATTTTCATATAAATAGTTCGACAAGTCCATGTGTGATCAGATTGTTCGAAATGTATAGCGCTAATACATCGCATGTTTCAGATAATCTTCATCTTCTCATCACGGTGTTTAAGTTTATAAGTTAATTGATGTGACCTTTCATCTGTCATGGACTACTTGAAAGATCAAATTGTCAATATGGAGTTTGTACTGTTGATACATGGATGATACTTTTGAAGTCTTTGATAGGTGTATACATATTAATTCTATTCTGAACCATTTCAATGGCGTTCATCAATCCAATTCATTTTCTTGATGTACTAATGACAAGAAACAAAGATGGCTCTATACTGAGAAGTGTAGATATAGGAAACTAATGTCTAAGGCACAGTATATGTACTTTCTTAGCTTCGTACTGATGAAGTAACAACGTAATATAATAAGGTGCCTCATATTTAGAGTAAGATCGATTTGTTCCAAGAAGTGTGAGTGTATCCGTGATATTCTTAATGAAAACGAATATCCGGATAAGTTCCTCAAAAACTCACATTAACTACATTGGTACTAAACGTGAACTAGACCAGTCAATAGGACGTTTTATGCAGGTCGGCTTTGTATATCCTTCAGTAGTCGGCCAATGCTCAATCCGAGACTAAAGGATAGCCTACATAGATTTTAGCTCTTCATTTTGCATATATCAACTCTTTGAAAGCTATGTAGAAAGAAACCTGCATAACCGTATTCACAAGGAAGAAGAAAGAAGATAAGGAATTGACCTCGACGGATACATGGAAGCTGATAGAAGAGAGGATGATGGTGAAGCAGATGAACGAGTCCAAGGATGAAAGGGGAGAAGAGGAACTGAGTACAAGGCATAAAACACTGGACAAAGAAGTGAAAAAGAGTGCACGCAAAGACAAAAGACATTTCAATGAAACACTGACAAGTGAAGCAGAACAGGCTGCTGCAAGTAGGAGAGAACTGACAACACTGTATCAAACAACCAGGTTACTACCTGGGAGGGAAGAGATCAACACAGATGAAACCAATAAAAGATGATGAAGGAAATCTAATTACCAAAGAAGAGAAACAAAGGAAACGATGGGTTGACCACTTCAAAAAGCTCTTGAATCGACCACCATCTGCACTTCGACAAGAAATACCACCTGCAGCAACAGAACTACAAGTGAACACAGGCCCTCCGACAAAAGTCTAAGTCCTCAACGCCATAAGGCTATTAGGAAATGGGGGAAAGCAGCAGGATCAGATGGAATCCCGCCAGAAGCACTCAGAACAGACGCAGGGACAACAGCCGACATGTTCACACCACTACTGTAGAAGATCTGCAAGGAAGGAAGGGTACCTGCCCATTGATTGGAAGACAGGCTACACCTTGTCAAACTCCCGAAGAAGGGTGACCTGAGCCTTAGCAAGAACTGGCGTGGAATCATGCTCCTATCCACCCAAAGCAAAATATTAAGCCGCATCATCCTGGAGAAACTAAAGGATGCACTGGATTCACACTTACAACCGAAACAGGCTGGCTGGATTGAGGAGGTACAAATCATGTGCTGACCAAATTGCAACACTACACACCATCATACAACAGAGCATAGAATGGCAGTCGACTCTCTATCTCAACTTCATCGACTTTCAAAAGGCCTTCAACAACGTCGACTGAGAAGTAATTTGATAGGCAACTGCTCAAACACTACGGAATACCACAAACCTCCATCAACCTCATTCAACACCTACATGAATACGCCACATACCAACTAATTCACAATGAGAAGCTCAGTGATGCCTTTGAAGTGAAGATAGAAGAAAGATAAGGTTACCGTCTACTATCACCAACCATCTTCCTGACTGTGGTCGACTCGATGATCATGTATCAAACTGTGAGGAGCGAGAAGAGAGGGATACGCTGGACACGGGAAAACATCCTCGAAGATTTGGATTTCGTTGATGACTCGTGTCTAATGTCACACAAACTTGAAGATCTACAGGCAAAATCCAACAAGTTGACAGAAGGGTCAGGCCAGTCAAGATGGGACTTCATTCAGGTGAACGTAGAGAAGACAGAGGTAATGAAGTTACCAAACCAACACCTCCACCATCATCACCACCACAAACAACAAGCTCCAATCACCATCAACGGGAGAAACTTAAAGGAAGTGGCGTCTTTCACCTACCAACTAGGCAGCATCGTTTAAACCATAGGTGGCACAGACGAGGACGTCAAAGCTAGCCACCATCGGAAAGACAGAAAGACAGGCGTTCACTAACCTGAAACCAGTGTGGAGATCTACTGCACTGCACTCAGCATAAAGAACAAGACCCGGATTTTCAACACTAGTGTCAGTCAAGTCAGTGCTTCTATATGGTTGAGAGACTTGACGCGTTAAGAGAGGCATTCCCAACAAACTACACATATTCATCAACAACTGCCTACGCTGGCTCGATGCTGAAGATCAGATGGCCACAATAATAAACATAAGCAACAAGGAACTCTGACTGGCTGGGCGGCAACGAACCAACACAGCAATAACCTATCACTCAACAAATGTACAGTATGAGGAAGTGGAGATGGATTGGGTATACACTGAGAAAACCATTTGGGGACATCAGGCACTAGGCCAGGCATTCGAGTGGAACCCAGATGGGAAGCGACTAGTTGGGTGTCCCAGTTGAGGATGACATGGAGGAGATGATGTGAGGAAGAAATGAAAGCTTGTAGGCAGTCATGGAGCCAGGTTCAAAAGACTGCAGAGTACAGAGTGTAATGGAGGCGTGCTACTGAAGCCTTATGTTCCACTGGGAACCCAAGGGAAAATTAAACAATAAATAATAACATTTTGAAGCCTGAACCCTCATTTATAAGCAAATGTGAAAAATCCCTTTTCTATTATCCTATATGAATAGAATTCTGATATACGATTGTCTTGGTTGTATTGTGTTCGCTCTGAGCTGGGTTATTTAACTGTGGAGACGCTTTCATTGTCTTTCTAGACAACATCCATAACACTAACTTCAGTATGATGGTAGATGTCAATATCTCTCCGTGAGTGATTTAGTAGCTTGCCCTAACCAACTAGTTTCTGATTAGTCGTTTACCTTGATTATATAGATTTTCCTGTCGGCTGTTCCTCTGTTTCATCTCTCACCTTTCTGCCTTTTATCATTTTTCTTATTAGTTGATAGATTGCAGTCTATGTCTATACATCTGTTGATTGCTGATTGATTGACTGACCTGAATGCATGCCAAGCTTCTAGGAATTCTCTGATTTTCTTTGTGTTTTCTCTCTCCATCTAACATTTCTACATTGTTAAAATTCATGTTCATAGTTGTTATCTATGTGCATTGAAATGAGTGATAAAATGTCGTGTGTGACGTTTACTATAGGCTAATTGGTGTTCATGTAGACGAAGGTGAACAGGGAGACCACTTTGTTCAATCTAGTGTTGACTACAGTTATTCCAGTTGATTTTGTAAATGATATACCATTGTATATACTATTGTTACATTATCAAAGTATATAATGCTGAGAACGAGTCTTTCAGATATCGAAGAAACAGTTGTGGAATCACTGAATATTTTAACAACAAAAGAATATTTAATAATTTTCATCAATGTTATTGACGAATACTTGATTTCATCTACAACTTTTCATACAAAAAATTTTGTTCAATGATTTAAGTACTCGACTTTCAAGAAAATGGTCAACAACTCGAATCCCCCTCCATCTATCTTTAACCTGACCAATTACGTGGTAACATAAGTTCCCTGAAGGTTATCTGGTTAGTTTGATATCATCATGTTCGGTGAAGACGCTGATTATATACGGGGCTTCCTGGACGTCATGAGCAGAAATCTATCAAATGTAAGATGATACTATAAAACTAGTCGGCTGCAAGTACTCGTAGTGAAGTGATGGAATGTGTTGACCACTTCACCTACTTGAGGAGTTACATCAACCCGAACAGGTTGGTTGCTGACGAAATCTCAACTCGGATATAGAAGACCCACTTAGTATTTGCCAGCTTGAGTCACCTTCATTGCTGATTGACGAGATATTCAACTATCCATTAAAGGACCAGCGTATACTAATAAGTTGCAGTCTGCTCTGTTCCATTATTAAGCGAAGAAATATGAAACGATTACAGGGTTTTCACCATAGAATTTCTCACCATCATCATATCACCAATGTAGGGGGGTCAGGCGAAAGGTGCTACGTAAGAGTGACAAATAAGTCGATGAGGTTGTGAACCTTTTGAGACTGAGATGACTTGGTCAAGTACTACGCATTCCGATCCATCACATAACCAAACTAAGGGAAGTTGGATTAGGTTGAAAAAGGGCTAAGAGTGGTCACACAAAGATACTGCACCAACTGACTGTTCATCTGAGCCGTCCATAATCCAATAAGAAATGGATTAATTCCTACATAAAAACAATAAATAATAATAATAGTCTAAGAAAAATTCATTGTTTTTTTTTTATATCAATGTATTAATTACCTACCTGGTAACAGATCACAGAAATCTAACCAAAGTTTCTCTGCTGTCCAAGTACGCTCATCTATTCGATTCAATAACTTTTCAGTTATACTACATGATCGTAAAGCACATTCCATTTCAAATGGTGTAATAATTGGTATATGAAAATCATGTGAATCTAATAGGCTAGTTTCAGGGCAAGCAACTAGAATAAACAATTGTAATTCAGGTATATTAGCTAATTTTGCTTCATTCAATTTACCAACTATTAATGTGATATATGAACGTCCAGCACGTTTCAATAATTGTTTTAAACGATCAATTATGTTTTGATAGCTTTTTACTGACAATGTACAAACCTAAATAAATAAATAGATAAAAAGTATACATATATGAGAATTACAGACAAAATAATGAGAAAATACACTTTCATTGAATGTATACTAAAAACTTTGACCCATGACCCGTAACCCGACAGCCTGAGATCGAACCCAGTTCCATGGCCACCACGTTACCATTATTGAGTAACTGTCTTCATGTTTGACTCCAGTGGTCATGACTTCTTTTTGAAACTTTGGGAATCACCTCTCGAAGTTTGATACTAAGAGGAAATAGCTGTCCAGTACTTCCAGGTTTGTAACGTTCCTCCAAATGATGTTAGTTCATGATGAATTCCAACCTAAAATCAATTAATAAATCTCCAGAAACCCGCAAACTGAATGGATATATATTGTCACCTATGCTACGAATACACCTGTGATCATATTTCACAGTCGTACAACAGGACATAGCGGACTACAGCGCGGTAGACTCCTCCTTCGATAGAAAGTTAAATATCTCGACAGTCAGCACCACAGATCATCCACGTTGGCAAATGTCAAACAGGCCTACTCTGTTCGAAATGAAATTTTTTCAGCAACTAACCCCTGTTCGAACTCATGTAACTCTGTAAGCAAGCGAAGTAGTCGATACATTCCACAACTTCACCCTCTATCATTAAATTCGGAGTAGTTTCACACCCGTCCTGGGGCATCAACTTACATCTGACAGGTGCCAGCCAAATGCATACCCAATATACTCAGATTTCTGCTCAATGCAGTCAGAAGACCATGGATGTAGTCAGCATCCTTATCTAGTAGGACAATATCATCTTCATACACTTCAAGTTAACCAGATAACCTCCAAGGAGTAGGTCAATCTCTGTGAGGTCACATGTATTACGATGATGTCCATCAGAACGAAACCAAACAGGAACCGTGACAGTGGGCATCGCTGGTAGACATCAGTAGTTGTCGTTAATTCACATGACAACTATCCATAAACCCTGACACGGTTACGTGAGTCCCAGTAGAGAGCTTTGATTAGCGTTATACACTCTCTCGGTATTCTCTTCACAATGAGACACTGACAATCATCATCATCAATATCAACATACGACCAGGCATTACTGCGTAACCCTCCGAGTTGCCATACCTCATATCAGCACATCAAGTAAAAGGCAGTGAAGAGGAAGATGAAGAAAGGAAAGTCCAGTCAAAAGAAATATAAAGTACGAAAAGAGAGAAAGGAGGAATGAGACAATGATGAGATTCGGTATAGCGTCGTTAAGATGAGGATAATGTATGTGGGGATACATCTGTGCCACTGACATCGATCCTCAGCCATATCTCCTGGAGTCTCCAACCACTTGTTCCTCTTTTTTCACCAACCCCGACCACCCAGTCTGCATCGCCCCACATGGCTCAAACCAACAGTCAAACACTCCATACATTGGCGCCATGTTTTAGTCTAGCCACCTCGAGTCTTTTTCCAGTCTGAACCTACGTCGGCCATCATTTGTGTGACGAGGCAATCGGCGACTAGGCGTACGTAACACGTGTCCCAACGATCTCAGTCGATGAAGGTTCACAATCCCACCAACTGACCTACCTCTTCTCCCTAAAACTCTACACCTGACGTCTGCGTTACTCACGTCGTGACACCACGAAATACGGCTTATACTACGAAGGCAACGGTGGTCAAACACTTGAAACCTTTTCGTCTTCCACCTTCAATAGCCATGTTTCACAACCATACAGTAGAACAAAGCCAACTGCTGCACATTACATTCGACCATTAGGAAACAACTAGATATCACGGTGGCGCCAGAGGAGACATAAGCTGGGAAAAACTATCCCAGCTTTTTGTATTCCTGCAGAGATTTCATGGGCCACTAACCAGTGCAACAGAGCTGATTCTACCTCCCAGGTAAGTGAATTGGTCAACACACTCAACCACTTCAGTCTCCATTGTTAGCTGAGGCACCGTTGAAGACCAATCTAAGAGCAACGATTTGCATTTAGGTGGTGAGAAACGAATGTCAGACATTCTCAAAATGCCACTCAAAGTGTCCAGAAGACTCTGCATCTTATCAGCGTCCTCACCTAACAGGACTGTATCATCTGCGTATTCTAGGTCTAACGAAAATTCTCCCACGATTAGGTCAACCTCCGTGTAGGTCAGTTAGACTGTTCCTCGAAGTCTTCTGCCCATCGTCCCAGTCGTCTCCCCTGCGAGTAAATCACAGAACCGTTCTCCCCTGTAGTCTCACTAACCATTATTGACTTATTCCCCCTAGTTTCCTTAATAGGTCTAAATAACTGTCTGTTAGCAATCGCCGCTGCCTTTTCCATATCATTAGCTTTCGCTGGTCACCACTGTTCGCGGCCGTTGCCTAGACTCTTTCTCAATCACCTTTTAAGTTGCGCTTGCTCTTCATTGTACTCAGAACCTGCAGGGATGCCTTCACGTGTATGCATTAGTTCGGAAGAAGGTGCTGATATCAACTAGCTCTTTTAGCCACTCTTTCGGAGTCGGCCACGGTCTTTAGCGCTGTTTTTACAGCAGAATGGAGATGACACCAAGCTTCTTCTGGATAAGTGGTAGAGTTCTAGCCAATTTCTCACTGAAAGCGGATTTGATGTTTTCGTTGTCGAGCTGCACTTGCAATGGCTTTGTTCACAATTTCTTCTACATCCATTGAGACGCAGGCATATACGCGCTCAGACCAACGAGTGGTCGCTATCTAGACACGTACTGAAGAAGGAGCAGCAGTCTTCCAACGATCCTCTACAGTGATGACTGATAGCAATGTGGTCTATCTGTGTCCATTGCTGAGTTGAGCTCGGTGGACACCACGTCAGACAGTGCCTTTTTTTGCGTCTGAAATTTGCGCTAGCTAAAAACAAGCGGTTGTCCGAGCATGGTTGTGATAGGCGATCTGTTCGTTTAGCCGGGATTCCAAAAGTGCCACCTAAGTGCGTTTCTGCCTCACTCAGTCCACATACCTGTGCATTGAAATCAACTGCAACAACCACCACGTCTGAACGTTTGGCTTTCGAAAGGAGGCTAGAGTTTTCGGTTGAACTCATCCTTCACTTCATCCAACCTGGGTGAGTAAGCAGAGATTACAAAGAGACAACTGCGAGTTTTACTATTCCTTTCAGCTTTCACTGTGCTGTTCAGCCGGGCAACACAGGCGACTATCAACTAGGACCCAGTCTAGTAGTGAGCTTTCTGTCCTAGTGCTTAATGCTATACCTACACATGCAAGACACCGAGAGCTAGCCATTGAATCTCCAGAAACTCGAAGGGTGAATTTTGCGGATTCACCAGATTGACTGGGAGGGGTTAGGTGAATAACTCCACTTGGGTCCTGTATGCGAGTTTCACAAACACAGCACACATCCATGGTCCGAGTTGCTAGAGTTTTAGTCAATGAAGCCTGTTGACTAATTAGATGGAGGGTGCAGACACTGAAGGCCCCGATGTGTATTTGGAGCGCAGTTTAAGAAGACCAGGGGTGCTGTTCTGTGTATTCACATTGTTGTCGAAAGCTTCAGAGCTAGGAGAAATTGAAGATGATGTAGTATTGTTAATTGAGAGACGTGAAGGAAGATTAGAAGGTAATGATGAGGAAGGTGGATAGTAGTCTGAATAAGCTTGAGTGGTGACAGAGTTGTGAGGACGGTTGATACTTCCCAGCTGCTCACACCGTGAAGGTTATTTTCTTCTTAAGGTACCTGAAAGAGATTTATGTGATTGCAGAGCCCGTCGGACATCTGCTTGAGGTCTGTCACATGCAACCTTTTGTGTATGGTTGTTTTCAGCGTTTGTTGTTTTGGGGCCGGATGGTCGAGAACAAACGACAAATGAACCAACACCGCCAGCCCAGCAGACCATGGGGCATGGTGGAGTTTGTTATCTTTGGGACTGACCTTTTCTAACCCCCCCCCCTCCCACTGAGAAGGCAGCATCAGCATGGCACTGCTGGTCAGCCAAGGGAAACATCTTACTGCCATCACTCCCGATCCGGCTAGCAGCAGTACGACTTCGCCCTCAGACCCCCATTATAGTGTAGTAATTTACACCACAATGGTAACTGGTTTTCGTACAACCACTACCCAACAAACCTTCCTGGTATGGTAGGACTTCGAGAAAACGAATGTTCCACCGGAATAGCTCGTTAGGTCATTGTGATATGCAAGCTTGACCACCACCTCAAGGTAGCAGCTATCGTGTTGGCACTCAAATGTACATGAATTCAAATAGTTAATATATTCACACTGCAAATTTTAAACAATAAATTCAGTGAATGACTGTATTGGAATGCTTGTTTTTCAACAGAAGACGTAAAGGTGTTCGACTATCATTGCATTAGAAGAATCGATCACATGTCATGGAATCGCCATGTTAATAATAAGGAGGTTAGACGTAGATGAGGTTAGTCAGTTAATGAAGCTGTGAACAATTATTGGTTGATGTGACTTGAACATGTGCTAGGCATGCCTAGTCACCCACTGTCTTTCTCAGTGCACAATGTTAGCCTAAGTACGGTTGCTCCAAATCTAGTGTTACACTTATAAATACACTTACGTTGAGAAAAAAGTAAACGTTATCTAACTGACTAACTGATAAAATCAATGTAGAACCTAGTACACAACCGCATCGGCTCAACTTGCCACACTTCACAGAAGTATACAAACAACAGGTCGATACAAAATGACTAATATCAAAGTGGATAAAGTAGTTTGAGAGAAGAAACAATCCGAAGACAAAGTTTAGTGTGAATATTCAAGCTTTAGAAGATGTCAAGAAGTGAGTACATCTGCGGCACTGTAACCGACCGATTTCCAGCCATGTCACAAAGAGTCAGTCTTCAATTACTGATTCATTTCATCCCTGGGACCCCAACCAGGCAGTCTATATCACTCAACACAGCTCAAGCCAACAGTCAGGAACTTCATCGACTAGTGCCACGTCTTGGTCTGCCCAGCCACCCCTGAACGTGCTTCCAACGTAATCCAGCTTCCCTTAGCATGTTACGTCGAGGTATGCAGTAGCTCGGCATGGGCAGTTCATATCCAAGCCATCTCAGTCCACTACGGTTCACAACCTTTTCAATCGACATGCCTGTCTTGCCTAGTATCCTTCACCTTACCTCAACATTGCTCACACAATGATTCCACCAAACGTGAGCAATCCTACGAAGACACCTATGGTCGAAAAATCATGACTATTTCATGTCTCACAGTCGTACAACAGTACAGAACGGACTGCAACACAGTATACTCTTCATTTGATAAATAGCCAGACATCTCACCGACCCGGAAGGTGACAAAAGTTAGCAAATGCCAAACGGGTCTTTTGTATCCCAGCTGAGATTTCGTCAGCGACCAGTCTATTCGGGCTGAAACTGGGACATTATTCTAAAACGTTTCTGACTGTTGATCTGTTATACAGACTTACTGGTACGGTTTCGTGTAGCAATTGAAATCGATAGTTGTTAACTCGACATGTGCCTCTAAATCAATGAGTGGTAGAGATGTATCTACGCCATATCTTTATCTACACCGTTACATCATATATTGGATTGTTTGCTTTCGTTCATCTTTTTCCCCCTGACTTTCTACATCTTTTTGGTGATATTTTATTGTTATTTCCTTATCTTGTCGCCTATTTTTATGTGGTATTATACGATATGATGAATGGAACAAGCATAGAAGTAAACGGTCCTCCTTTGTTACCAGCTGACTGTACATACAAGAGGAGATTTCATATTTTGCTTCAAAAACATTCCCACTGAAATTCACTGAAAAATGCATACACAACGTGTAGTTAGTCACTATCTACTATATGACGGAATGGTTAAACAACAACAAAAAAACTACATTATAAATACATTTATATAAAAAGTGAAATTCCCTGACACTCAATAACCTTCTGCATATTCATAGAGTAGGCAATAAGTTACACGTATTATATGAAGGCGAATAACACTACCTAGTAGGTGGAGAAAAGTTGGTTGAAAATCAACTGCTTCAATCAATGAGCTACAGATGATAATAATGCCTAATCTTCTGAAGTTATAAACAATAACTACATCTTGAAAGATAGAATAGTATAGAGTAAATCAGATGAACTTACGAGAATCCCTATACATTGTGCATCTTTTGCTCTTTCAATCAAATATGATCTCCTCTTTAATAATCGATTCACTTGTATACCAGATACATCTAGATTACAAGTGATTGGATCAAAAATATGAGTTTTAGATGGATTGACTTCAGGTAGAGAAAGTAGAATACGATATAAAGGAAGCAGATCAGAATTATTAGCTGTCATATGTCCAATATACAACATATTCCAACTATGTTCATTAATATTGCTTGTAATAGTCAATTCAGACTGAAAAGGAATAAATAATCTTCCACAACGAATAAATTTGTTTGTATTATTATTACCATCAGAGATAGCTTGAATTCTTGTATCTGATGTACTAAAATATGGTTCAGACCAAATTAAATGAAGAGATTTAATTCCAATTGAGTCACACATGAGTATTAACTCTTTATAGAATCTGTCAGCGATATCTTTGAAACGGAAGTCGTAAGTAATCACAAGAAATGATGTATCTTCTGAATAGGATTGAATTTTTTCAATTAAGTTATGTAAAATTTGTTCAAATGATTGTATCTCAGCTGGAATACATGGTGAATACTTGCCAAATACATAAAACACAGGTATACGTCGTGTATTTTCTGATAGACAAGCTTGACCGTAATGTACAACTGCATTAACTTCAATATGTTGACCAGATATCTCATCGACACAACAACTGAAGTACACCAAATATACAAATTTCAGTCAATGAAAAACAAAACAGAAGTTTAGAAGTAGTATTCATCATGGACTGACATAAGTTGGGGAACTAGTGAAAATCTGGAAGCACTGGACAGTTGTTCCGTCCTAGTATGGGAGTCCCCAGCAGTACGCACCCACGACCCGGCTAGGGATAGAACTCAAGACCTTCAGCTTTCACAGCGAATGCGTTAACTATTCAGCCACTGGGTTGGTTTCCAGTGGTTCACAATTTCCAACTTCTGCCAATTCACGATATAGCGCGACTATTATCCAAGGTCTTTAGATGCCATCCCCTTCTCTTCTGACTAGTTGACGCATCAGGTCACAGCTTCGCATTAGAGCTTCATAATATTCATCTGGAAGCAAGTCACTAATGAGCACTATAGAGTAATGTATTTTTGAGATGAGTGGGGATTTTTAATTTAGAAGTAGTACTCGCGCTATGCTGTGAATTGACAGAAGTTGGAAATTGTGAACCACTGGAAACCAACCCAGTGGCTGAATAGTTAACGCATTCGCTGTGAAACCTGAAGGTCCTGAGTTCTATCCGTAGCCGGGTCGTGGTGCGTACTGCTGAGAAGTCCCATACTAGGACGAAACAGCTGTCCAGTGCTCCCAGATTTCCAATGGTTCCCCAACTAATGTCAGTCCATGACGAATACTGCTTTTAAATTTAAAAAAATCCCCATTCATCTCAAAATAGAAGTCTGTTAAAACTAGAAATTTTCACATGGATAAAATGAATCAGTCTGACGACATTGGAACCATTGGGATGTCACTTATACATCACTCAGCATAGTTTATGGTTAATTTAAAGAGACATTGAAGTAGAAGTTGGATTTCATTAGGACAAAATAAAAGATATTTGGTTTCAACGAAGAAACCGTCAATACGTTTACCCTCCAAAAAACTTCTAGGTAGTCAATGGGAGTTAACAATTATCTCAGTTTTTCTTCCCCGAAACATTGTCGGATATTTAATACTTGTTGATCAAGGATTTGATAACACACAAGCAATGTTAACCTCATTTTTGAGTTTATATACTTCAGTATACCTTGACCAAAAAGTGAAATATGATTGAAAATCAAGCTTTAATAGAAAAAATACGCTAAAATTCGTATCATCAACCTAAATGGTTATTATTATATTACTATTTGTCCCTTGGATTCCTAGTGGAACATTCCACTTCCTTCCTTTAGACTTCTCCCGTTCATAGTGATCAGTAGCTCTTGTCATCATCATCGGGCGAAATCCAAATTTACTAGGGTCTTCGTCTTTCACCGGTCAAACAGTGTATACCCACCTTCTCGCTCCTCACAGTTTGTTGCATGATCCAGTGCACTCTGTTCTCTGCTAATCTTTTCAACCTGGCTACACGACTGCCTACAAGCTCTCATTTCTTCTTCATATCATCTTCTCGATGCCACCCTCGTCTCGGACGCCAAACTCGCCATTTCCCATTTGGGTTCCACTCAAGTTCCTGGCCTGGTGCGTGATATCCCCGAATGGTCTTCTCAGTGCATGCCCAATGCATCTCCACTTCCTTCTACTGTACATTTGCTGAGCGATAGGTTCTTGCTTTGTTGGTTCGTTGCCATCCAGCCAGTCAGAGTTCCTTGTTGCTTATTCTTATTATTGTGGCCATCTGAGCTTCAGCAACGAGCGTAGGTGGCAGCTGTTGATGAATATCTGTAGTTTGTTGGAAATAGCTTTCTTAACGCGCCAAGTTTTTGAACCATATAGAAGCACTGACTTGACTGACACTAGTATTGAAAATCCGGGTCTTGTTCTTTATGCTGAGTGCAGTGCAGTAGATCTCCACACTGGTTTCAGGTTAGTGAACGCCTGTCTTTCTGTCTTTCCGATCCTGGTTGGCTCTGACGTTCTCGTCTGTGCCACCTGTAGTTGAAACGATGTGAAAGAGGCTACTTCCTTTGGGTTTCTGGCGTTGATGGTGATTGGAGCTTGTTGGGAGTGGTGGTGGTTGGACATCTTCATCACCTCTATCTTCTCTACGTTCACTTAAAGTCCCATCTTCGCTGCCTCTCCTATCAACTTGTTAGTTTTCGCCTGTAGATCTTCAAGTTTGTGTGACATTAGACACAAAAGTATTAGGTGTATATATTACTTAATTTGCAAATCCTACAAGACTAAACACTTTAAAAACACTGCTCACCTTGCAAATGAACTGTCTCCAAGAATAACGCATAAACTATCAGTCAAAGTATTTAATTGTCTACATATTACAACTGAAATTCCCAAAAGTTCATCTGGGAATTGTAAACCAACCTAAAACTTATAGACAGTGATTAAATTATCATTACCTTAGTGAATTTATTCGATTTGATCCAGTTTACAGTTTCTTCAACTTTGAAAACAATGTGAATATCCGAACATTTTGAACTCCATCTTTCAATCATGTTACTGCAATACAGAATTAGCAGTTTGTTTGGTTAACAAGATGAATCTTCGTCAGAAGTATCAAGTACACAACATTAACAATGAATTTTCATTCAATCAATAGAAATCACCTAGATGGAAAAAGAATACAAGTTAGTAGATGACAGAAAAAGAAAATTAACGTAGAACCTTGTATAGAGGTGCTTAGCGTGAAATTCCTACACTTCATACCAGCATACAAGGAACAAATGAGTTCAGAAAGACTAATGTCGAAATCGATAAAAGTGTATAGAAGGAGAAGGAATTCAAAAATCAGTCAGTGAAAAACATCACTTTTTAAGACAGAAAAGTGTGAGTAAATATGCGTAATTATAACCGATTTCATGTTAAATGAAGTTCTAAAAAGTACATGAAGGCCCTATGATTTGAAGTCAAAAATAATAAAAAAAATACAATGCATCAACACTTTATCATGTTTTTCATTATTGTTATATGTTTGACCAGAAACCAAAGGTAAAAACCTTTCGGTAAAGACAAAATACAATAGACACATTGGGATGCAATAACTTTGTTTATTCAGGCTTAACATACATCACGTATCAGTCATTATTGGCTACTAATTCCTAAAGAACACTGACAATAATAATAATAATACCGAAACTTGACGAACTAGAGAATAATAAAATTGGCATTGCTGCTAAGTAGTCTTCAAGAGTACATTGAGTAAATAAGAAAGAAACTAACCAGTCAGTTGTTTAATTTACAGAGTTTGGAGTACTTACACAACAAATCACTACTCGATGACTCTTTCATTCTAAGGAAGTGTAAACCAGCATAGTACACTGCTTAACAGAATTCCGTAGAAATAGCAATCAAACAAGCAGAGTGAATTTAAAATGGAATATATTTATTGTGATCACAAATAGATAGAAGTATTTCCCAGCCAAGTCTAACAAATGAATGATGGAAGAAGACAGATGAGTCAAAAAGGAAATATGAGTGTCAGATGCAGCATACGATAGCATCTTTAGTCAGATGAAGCATTCTGAGGCACAAGCTTTGTGGAAAATATCCCTGGAAATTTCGTCTTAGAATCAATAAGGCTGATTGTAATGCGTAGCCGAAATGACTGCAACCCCCAGCTGTCACCATGACATAGTGGTCGAGTTTGCAAATCACAACAATCCAACGAGGTATGGTGATTGGAACGACTGTTTTCTGAGATGCTACCATACCAAAGAGGTCTGATGGATAGCGGCAAGACTAAGAACGGAGACAATGATAGTGAAAATAGCTTCCGCTACGCAGGAGTTTCGAGAGCAGACTTACACTATGTGCTATGCTTATGTTTGCCCTGTATGAACAGCATTTCATGCCAATGCTCACTTGACTTCTTTGCAGCATGGGTTAGAAAAGGTCGACCCTAGAAGCACTTTTCATTTGGAAAATTGAATAGTAATAAAACGAAAAGTGCATTAGGAAAGAACGAGTTTATTACGGTCAGTTTGAGGGTTATTAACAACTTCTTACATCATGAGTAATGCACTACCAAAACTAAATGCACATTTATCAAGTTGTCAACAGGTCAGTTACTCAGCGAGTATCGTGTGACTCGGCAATACTGGGTAATGATTAAAGTTACCGCACATCAGTACATCAAGGTGGCAGCCCAAGTGAACACAGAGAAATATGGAAACTAGAGAAACTGGTGGAGAGTCGTGAAAACAAAACAAGCCATGACAATAATCATACTCGGTTTAATGACTAAAAAGATGATGTGCGGATGCGTTTGGGTCACTCAAATCGATTCTGAGTCACATCACCCAGCCACCAATCGCTGGTTTCTGTTGTTACGTGGACCCAAAACACGACGTCTATATATTCCGACACGGTTCGAAGAAGCACTCAAACTTCATGCACTGATACCATGTTTTAGTCTACCCTCCCCTCCGTTAGTCCCTTTCCAGCACAAGCCTGCTTAGGCCAACACTACGATGAGGAAGATGACCAGGCATGCGTAATACACGTCCATTCTAATCGATGAAAGTTCATAAACTCATCAATTGATGTTTCTTTTCCACCTATAACTCTACGTCTGTTTTAGACTATTGACGTGGCCGCACCAAGAAACAACCTTTGCGACGCTAAATAAACAATCTAATATGGAATTACATTCTACCACAGTGCTCCTATTGTACTATGAGCAGTTCCAGGTCACTCAAAAAGTCGCCCTACACGACACAACTTTCCCAACATCTAATATCATTAGGACGAATGCAGCAAACTGACAGTTTTCAAGCTCTAGTCTAATTCTAAGGGCAAAATTCTGTTTGTTTGGTTTTACTCCTTCTGTAGGTGCAAGTCTTTTTTGCTTTTCTGTGTTTACCTCTTAGATTTTGTTTTTTCTTGCAGTTTACAGACTGGGTGTGTCCAGAAACTACAGAGGTGCTAGCAACACCGACTGCCTTTTCGCAACTCCTGTCTGCATAGCAGTCCAAATGTATAAGTTAGCATAAGTCAGGCAAAAAAGAAAAAAAGAATCATGCAATGTAAAAAGAAGAAATAGGGAGGTCTTTGTGCAGTAATAATGAGGGTTTGTGGAAAGTTAACATCAATATATTTGACCGCCCCCACTTATATCGATGTAGACGAGGAAATGTACCCAGATTGGGTGGCGATTATCCCACAGTGTATCGGATCTTTTCACCCACAAGAAAGCAGTACCATGGTTTGGAGCGGTAGGTACCAATACCAAAGAGCACGGGCGAGAAGATCATGACCCAGTCACACCATAATGCGTAAGTAATGCGGGCGAATGCCTAAATAATGGGGTCACTAGCCACGATATACCGACAGATAGGTAAGGGGTAAGAAATTTTCACCTAAAATTTCCCGAAAGTCCTATAATACTTGATATTACGGGGGTCACCGAAAAATAGGGGCGTTAAACTCATAGCTGATGTCAGTGGGAAGACTCTGACTAGTGAGAAAATAGCTAAGCTGTTAGATCTGCGATTTTGAGAAAAATCAAACCCTTACGATAAGCGTCTCTAGGTGTCCTTAACTGGGAACATTTCGAACGGGTAAAATTGAAATTCATGGACTAAAGTTTTATATTCCAGAATAATCAGTTGCATTAGTAAGATTTTCTACTCGGTGGATTTTTCAAAACTAACCGGAAAAACCGCATCACATCGTGCAATAGTAACATTTAGGTTGAAATATCTAACCGTAAACTGAACAATGCTCAATGTCAATCCAGTGTCTTTAGATGAGGTTTTGTTAACCAGCTGATTTCTAAGCCCTCACTTTTATGTATTACGGAAAGAATTCCCGTCTTTGGTGTATTCTGATGCAGTAGATTTTCCTACTTGCCTGCTTCAGACCTGGTATATTCGAAGGGTGGTTGAGTCTTGATTAAATTTGTAAGGGATGAATGGATTTTCCAAGAACTGTCATGGTCTGCTCTCCATCTTCAGTGTCGGAGATATAAGACTGATGTACTCTTTTGGCAACCTTTTCGTAAATGCCACTGTGAAAATCTAGTGTTCCCTTGAATATGTTACCGCATGAGTGGTTACCACTGTTATCGGTTAGAAGAAACTCATAGTTTTGAACTCTCATGATGTACAAGACCGTGAGCTCCCACACCTTTGCCTGCTTTCCTTTTATGGACTAAAGTTAGTGAGTCAATTGCCTGTGGTATTCTGCGTATCTTTCGCCCGTTATTATGAGAATTGACCATCTCACACTTCTCTGCACATTCTTGATAGTGTCACCGTCTTCCTTCACTACGTGAGGATTATCAGGCTGAACACTACTGAGCGTGGTCTGTTTCACACCTTGCAAACCACGGAACAGTTGGGGTTGAAGGCCCTGAGTTGACTCCTGAGTAATTACACTGTGACATTCGCTTTAACCGCCGTTCTTTTGTAGTCAGTTTTGTCATCCAGTGAGTCACGGAAGTGTAGTCTTAGGTCTTTTCCCATAGACATCATGGTGGTCACCCAATCGCTGACGGTATAGATAGTTTTCACAACCTCTGATGTCCAAAGATGGATCAACTTGGGCTTCTCCTGGTTGGGGCTTTAACGGGTTTCAGCTATTAAGGACCTCAACTGCAGTAGATCATCTTGAAGTACCCTAGCTTCTCCTTTCTTACCTATTGTCCTGTGTATTTCGTTGCCGTCAGTAAATAGGGGGGTAGGTGGTTACACCTGCACCAGGAGATTGCCTACCAATAGAAAAATAAGTAATAATCCAGAGATCGATGCCCCTGCTTCTCCATGTCGACAGAAATCTGTCTAAACTGGTGCAGAACTACCCAACCCCTAGGCGTGCATCAAACTAATATGTAAGTGGTCCACCGACTCCAGTCCTTGTAAATTTAGTCAGTATAGTCTTGTTTGGGACGTCATCTCAAGCTCTGGCTAAGTCTAGAAGGATGACGCTGACTGTTCCCTTGTTGTGCCTTGTATTGACCTAGTCGTCCCGAGTGGTCATCAGGCTCGTGTCACATGACCACCCGTTCCAGAGGCATTTTCAGCAGGGTGTATGATGTTTATCTCATTTCAGCAGTGACAAACAACATCTGCAGCCAAGCTTTTCAGTAGCATGGAAAGTATATGCAGTTACGCTATCGGTCCCCCATTTTGAAGAACGGTGAGAAGACAGTGCGCTTTTATCCTTTGTGCGGTTGACTTCTAGCTAGTGCATTAAACAGATTTCACACGGACAAGCCTGGCAGTGGCACAATTTTGTAATGCCACGCTTCTAACGTCGCCACGGCCCGTAGTTTTCCATAGCTTAAGTGTGGATAGTTGAATAGACCACGATTTTGAGTTTTTTGTCATGACCTCAGGGACGGCCAATCTTTGTCAGTGGTACATCAACTCCAAGTTCTTGGTCACTGATATGGAATGTTCATATTATTTCATCCTGCCACCACAGGTGACCTAGCAGTTGGAAAAGTCTTTGACGAACGGGTCAAATAAACCAGCCACAGACTTAACGATGACTCTGAATACCGTCTGGCCTCTCAGAAATTACTAGTCGATGGAATAAAATATCCGAGTCGTGGTAAAATAAACGTGGGATATAAAGTACCCGACAAATCTTCATCAAAGAGTTCGAAGTCTCTGCGAAGGCCCCCAAATTACCGAGTACCCTTCAGATGCGATTTCATTGCATCAGACATGTGTTTTCAAGTCGTGGTTGAGGATCACCCCCAAAGTCCTCCACTTCTTAGGCATCAAGTATTGGTCTCCTATCTGCTAGGAACTGATGGTAGGTGCCTCCAGTACATCAAACCACACGTTCTCCAGATTTAACTTCTGAACATCGACGGATTCTGCAGTCACTTTCTGTGCATATCTCCGTCTTGTTTCGTATACACTTACCCCGGCAGGCAAGCATTCGCGTAAGCTGTTACGTGAGATAAATATTATTATATCATCGGAGGCTTGGTTGTATCCGGGGGTTGGGCAGCGTGAAGCAGAAAGGGAAGTACACCCGAGGTTGTTCCTCAAGGAAACCCGATCCTCATGGGTTGTTTTCTATATGTTGTCCAGTTCCCTTCTCACACTTCGTTTCTTTTCGTGAGGTGACAGTCTGACGCTGGACCGTTGATCTTACCCAACTGATTTGTTACAGAAGGGAAATTGCCGCCTTGCACAACACACTTCAACCCACAAAAATGGATGCTGACCACTGAAACTCTTTCCGTACACCAATGAAAACATGGAGGTCAAAACTAAGAAGGTTAGATTATTCCTCCAGGAAAGATACGACTAACCATAAAGTGTGACTTTATCACGGTCATTTACCCAACTAACAACTATGGCACGTGGATTCGGAATCAGTAACGAGGAGGAGGAAACCAGTAGTTTTCGACCGCTCATTCCTTGTTTTCTATATTTGTTTACCTTTATCGTGGGTGAAAAGTATTTTCTATACACCTGATTTTAGCTGTGCATGGTGGTCACCTTCTATGGGATTTAGACCCCTGTTTTGTAGGTTGGTATGTCGGTTAAAATATTCCTGAAACCTTCTCTCCATGTGTGCTGCTGAAAATGGGTCAAATGAACCAAAATGAGAAGATGGAGGAGTGTGTCGAGGGTGATGATGGCAAAAATGTTACATGTGGATGTAAAGGAGATAAGAGTTATTAGTGATACTTTACGGACATTTATGGGAGCGGTCATACACGGCATGTTTGTCGTTTTTGGAAAGACAGTGTGGAAGAGGCTGCAAATTCCTCTCGTCAACTTGTGTTCCATGCAGTGCACCCCACAGTGCGGAAGATGGAATTAGTTCTCTTGTTAGCTCTCTGGAGAGCTCGCCGCAGTCTCTGGATAACTGTAGGTGATGATCGACTTCTTGTCACTTCTCCTAAAAAGAAACTCCGTAATAGACCCGGCATACTGAAAACTTTGAGGGCAGGCGGCAAGATACGTGAACCACTTAGCGAAACGTTCAGCCTTTCCTTCACCGGCTGTAATCGCAACCTTGCGACGCTCAGTGGCACCGGAGCACATAAGACCTCGACAACTGAGTTTAGTCTACGCGGCGCAGGTGACGCAATAAACTCACTGCAACCCTCACTTGGTGAGGAGCAGGTGGGACACCTGGAATTTTCATTAGCAGTAGCTGTGCGGACTTCTCTATAATGCTAGCAAAAATATTCAACCTTTCCTTAAACTCTGGCACCTTCCCGGCTTCGTGGAAGACTAGTCATATTACCCCGCGATTAAGAAAGGTTCCAGACTCAGCCCGGAAAATTACCGCCCCATCAACATAACATCTGTCCTCTTACGTATAATGGAGAAAGTAGTGAAAAAATACCATTTTCTTTCACCTTTCAAACCACAAACTTATGAACTCCTCGCAGCATGGATTTTTCCCTTAAAAAATCTCGCATCACGTGTCACATAGACTTCTTCGAACACGTAATTAATGGCAGAGATGACGGAAAAGTGATTGCCTTCCTTTGCTTCTGTTTCACTAAGGCTTTTGAAAAAGTGCATCACCCCTTACTCCTCCACAAACTGAATTCACTTACGATAAACGACAAGTTTGTACCACTGGATGGGCTCATTTCTGTTGAGCCGCATACAGGTTTTCAAAACGGATTCACAATATTCCCTTCCCAGAAATATCACCAGTGAAATTGTCCAAGGCTTCGTTCTGGAACCCCTTCTCTTTACAATGTATATAAATGATGTATGTGCCTGCTTTGATTCAGGGAAAACCTTCCTCTTTGCAGGTAACTTGAAAGCAGTGTACACTTTTCGCCCTGGACAATGTAGCAGTATCAATACCACCATACAAAACGACCCTGACAAGCTGCAAAGATGGTATGACATGCAGCTGCTACCTCTGAATACACAGAATTCCGGCTCTATGGTCTTCTGTGAACAGAGCGTACTAACATATCTTCGGCCCGACGACCTTACACTCCAACAACTAGTTAGCATTCGCAACCTTGGAATAGGGTGCTCCAGCGACCCTTTTCTTGCAGAACATGCAACGGCAAACTGCCGCAAATCACGCCGCCTCATTGGCTTCATTTATCAAAATTTTCGCCTCAATGAAACCAAACTGATTCTGTATAAGATGCGTGTGCGACCACCACTAGGATAATATCCTATCATACTTAATTGCTTGTGGTCCAGTGACAGTCAGAAAGTGGAGAAAACCCAGCGACATTTTACCAGACTTATTTCCCCAGGTAATTCATACAAGGGCAGGTGTCATGCTAACCGCTTAGAGCCTATGTGGTTAACGTGAATAAAATTGAGCTTCAGCATTTTCTGTGAAGTCCTACACCATGAAGTGACTACCAATATGGAAACAGCAAAGTTAGCTGACAAAACATTTCACAATCTTAGAGATCAAAACCGCCCAGTCACACCACCGTATGCGTTCAAACAGCTCAAATCTTCATCTTTCACGACACTTTGCGCTAACCTTTGGAACAGACTGCAGCATGATGCCCGATGCTGCGAAATCGTATCCCAGTTTCGGTCAACCTTGAAGCACCACATAAATGAACCTGGAGTATGCAGGACTCCTGATGTACCCTAAATGGTAGACACCACGTTTCTTATTGGCCCATCAAATATCTAGAGTCCAACAAGCAAAGATCTAATGCAGCCACCCAAGAATTTATCATACACTGAGTAACCTTGTTGAATTACATCGTATTCTATGCAAATTTGTGGC